ATAATATTTCAATAATAATAAAAAATTATGGCAGTGTCAATCGTCTTCGTAGGTAAAAAGGTTCAAAGAGTAACGTTTGTTCAAAGAGTAACTTTTGACCACAGATTGTACAGCACATATTAGAACGCTGTCATAGAATACACAACGCATAATAAATTATAGTATAGTAAAACCTAGACTAGTATTAATAATTTTAATTAGTGGATAATTTTATATGTCAAAATAATATAACATAAACCGCCTAGGACAACATGAGAACTGGCTAAACTCGATTGTTGCCGGCACACCCATTCAGTGGCCGTGAATAAAACAATTAATTGACTTTTCATTCATAAGAATAATAAAATACACGATAGTCGCTTGTAATTAACATTTTGAATAAAAATTCTATGTCTGTAGCAATGTTAAGGCAACTTTACACTAACCGATGAAACGTTTTAAGTTTAAATGTTTAAGAAATAAATAAATCACATATTTTTGATATTAAATTTTAAAGAATTTTCTGTTATATTTTTTTATGACCAAGAATGCTGTTCATAACCATTCCCAATATGTTCAGTGAACTTATACAAATCGAGTTAAAGATTCTGTTTGAAATAGATGTTTGGCGATCGTTCGTATTGTAGAAGATTTCCCGGCCGTATCCTTTACGATGACCGACCTTCTTGAGTCCCTACTGCCCTTAAATAGTTAATTCTATTGACAGTTCAACTGTGAACACACCTTTATTAACATTTCGACGATAATGTACACGGCGTTTGATTGAATTAAAGTTATTGGCAAAAAATTCCACACAAGCTCTCAAGGCCAGACGTTGTTTGAACTTTGAAGACGGTCGTTATGCGAATTTATTACGTTTATTGTAATTTATAAACCGTGACACGGGAAATTTGGTTTCTGATTAACAAAATAAAACAATCGTGTTAATGCGCGCTTTGTAATGTTGTGTTTAGCAACATTTATTGTAGAAATCATTTCATGCTATTTTTGTTTAAATCAATTTAGTGTATTTCATTTATTTATATTTATGATACCTGAATACACATTATTTCTTCCCTTGCTATTGTTTGATCTTATAATCTTTTTGTAGCATAATTTCCTGACTTATCCCTTAATACCTAGTTTCAAATTTGATATCGGGGTTATAAATCGCATTGGGCGCCTATAATCGATTTTATTTTAATAATATGCAGTTTACATGTTACCTTTGTCAGATAATCATCAAGTTAGAAAACAAAAAGGAGCATATCACGAAAATATGTAAAAACGACGTTTCGTTTTTTTTTTATATTCTTACCCTTTATAAAAACACAGTAATGGGTACACTTATACATTTTGTAATTCGATTTAGAAAATCAGGCTTTTAAGGATTTTTAGGATGACTTAGTCATCTTAGCATGACTTATTTAATGATTTAATACATTTACACACATATTAATTAAAAAAAAACATACTAATATCCTTAAAAGAGTTTTTCATAAACAAAATTCTCACCAAAATCTAGACAAAGGAATTTACTAACAAAAGTATAACCTCAAAAATTCTGTTAGCATTTCATTAATAGTGTCAGTGGAATGCATTGACAGGGTTCAATGTACATATAATTGTTTTTTTTTTAATATATCAGTATGCTATACGCGACTGTCAACGTTTTTTGCCGTCCATTTTAAGATAATCCTTTAAACGACTTTATAATATGTAAATTAAATTATCTCAGATAAGAATAGAATGCATCTAATCGTCAATTTTGCAAACGTCCATAAATAGCTTTATTCATAGACAACTTTCAAATGAAATAAATTAAAAGATTGTATTTGCAATAATTTAGTATATAACAATCTAAAAAATCCTCTTATATACATAATTAAGAGCAATACTTTTGTATCTTTGGTTTTTTTTTTACAAAACTTATCGTTTTCCTATCTGCTATTTAATCTTACTTCTAACTAATATTACAAATGCGAAAGTTTAGATAGACGAATCTCGGTGAAATTTGGCATAGACGTAGAGGATACTCTAGAAGAACACATAGGCTACTCACTTTTGTTTTTTTACTTTCACGCGGACGGAGTCGCGCGCGAAAGCTAGTTAACTATATTTTTTTGGTAACAGGTAAACTTTGAGCCTTATAGAGCTTTAAAATTGTGAAATAAAACTTTGCATGTCGCAACATTATTCCTGGAAGCCTACACCTTGGTAAATGACTCACACAAACCATGAATCGTATAATTTTTTTTAATACACGAATTTTCAAATCTCTTAACATAGAGTCTGATTCACAACTATTTAGTTTTAATTTACTGGCAAGGAATATACGTCATATCTTTTCTGTCCTGTCCACACCCTTCCCGTTGATGTAAAATATATCCTATCACTGAGAATGTAGTTTTCTAATACTGAAGGACTTTTTAAATCGGTTATTTCAGACTACTTTTTAAATTCTGCGCGTTTAAAATAACGATGGGACCGGTATCTCTAGAACGGGTAAATCGATTTTGACGAGAATTTGACCGGAAGGAAGTCGGTAGAATGTAGATGCCCGCGGGAATGAAATAGACGATTTTGTTTTTTTTTTCGCTAACGAATTTTGCGGACGACAGCTCGTCGATATCTAAAGCCAAACTTTTCTAACTTATTGACAATTGAATTACTAAACTTTAATAATTCAATTGTCAAAAAAATAATTCAAACCATCTTACTACTTACTAATATTATAAATGCGAAAGTTTAGATGGATGGATGGATAGATGGATGGATGGATGGATGTTTGTTAGCGTTTGTAGCCTAAACGGCTGAACGGATCTCCATGAAATTTGGCACAGGTTTAGAGCATAGTCGGGAAGAACACATAGGCTACTTTTTATCCCGGGAATAGTTACGGTTCCCGTGGGATTCATTAATTTAGTTTTTTAATGTTTACTCGATCATTCTGCAACGGTTCAACATATCTTATTGAAATTTGGCACAGATATAAACCAAAGTCTGGAGTACACATGGGATGAGCTTCATCCCCGAGAAATGTCCGGTTCCCGAGGGATACGTAGCTTTTTGTAATTTACATAGTTTGCATGTTTTCTAATACCACGCATACGAAGTCGCGGGCAACAGCTCGTAAATAATAAAATCAAGTTCTTTTATATTATTTAACGTTACATTATTGAGAATCATAGACTGCAATTTAGTCACGACTCAGACCGTCTAGGCGCCATTATCGCCTAGGTGCTGTCGTGGACCTGATTCGAATCTAGCATTACTTAGAGTTTAATCATAGGTATTGCGGTTTTCCTCTAACAATAATAGCAATTGTATTGAGTTATTACAATTACAGAAAATTCTTTATTTATAGACATACAATATTACAAACATAATTATTAAAACCTGTATTATAGTCTGTGAACTTAGTTTATAATCTCCCTAGTCATATTATAAACTGACAGCAAATTGGAAATTAAACTAATCAATATAATGTGTCTTATCAGGGTAGAAAGTAATTTTGAGTATTTCTCTACTATGCAATACGTGAATTTTACATGTAAACCTTTCTCTTGAATCACTCTATCTGAAAAAAATCTACATCAAACTCCTTTGCCTAGTTTGAAAGATATAAGCTTACATAAAGATAGACGTAGGGAAGCGACTTAATTTTGTAATATATTATTCATTCATTATCATCATCATCACCAGCACACTATACGTCCCCACCGAGGGGCTCGGAGCCTACCCTAATATGGGGTGACTAGGCCATAGTCAACCTCGCTGGCCAAGTGCGGGTTTTTTTTTTATAATATAAGGTGGCAAACGAGCAAGCGGCCACCTAAATCCGCCAAAATGGCGAAGCGACCGCTGCCCATAGACATCCGCGATCGCAGATGCGTTGCATACCCTTATCCGACGGAGGAGGAGACGCACATAAAGAGGATATTGCTCCTTCCTATGCATCTCCTCCACCGTCAAATCCACTTCCCCTTCCCATCCTCTTCTTATAAGAAAAGGGTGGTAAAGAGAAAGGGACTTAACTTAGGCCTCCGGCACCACACTCATCAGACGAAATACTGACGAAACACACGAATTGGTTCCATTTCACGCCTGTCTTCTGTGTGGTCGTGGTATTACACCGGGCGTGCCGGCCTATTCGTGCTAAGATGTTAAAGCGGGCACTACCACTGTAGAAACTGTAGACTGGGTTGGTTGACTTCACACATATCTTTGAATTTCTTCGCCGATATGTGCAGGTTGCATCACGATGTTTTCCTTCGCCGTAAGAACTTCGGGTAAATTATGTACATATGAAAATTCGAAAAATCGAATATCACATTGGTACATGGCGGGATTCGAACCCAAGACCCGTAGATTACAAGTCAAGTGTTCAAACCACTGAGCCACCGACGCTCTTATATATTATATATTATTCATTACTTTATCATTACTCTAAAAGAAAAGTAAACAGGTAGTTTGTAATTGTAAGCGGCTTTCTTGAACGTCATATGTAAAACTAAAGTTCGCAACACAACTTAGCGACGGCTTAATGAGCAGCGAAAGCGGCTCTAAGTTGATTCAAGTTGAGTCAACTTGAGTCACACTCAACATTCAAGTAAAGGGGAGACTTACTTAAGTGGTTTTGTTTTAATTGAAACTTCCGAACTTCCTGACGTCTGTGGAGTTGAAGTGACTTTTAACACTCTATCGATCATTACATATGTACTTACATAATGACAGGTTTTTCGCCGTATAACAGTACGACTTATGGTCCTTGAAGCGAGCCTACCATTTCCTCAAAGGCCGGCAACGCATCTGCAGTTCCTTTGGTGTTGCGGATGTCTATGGGCGCCGCTGACCACCTCTGTTCCCGCCACTCGTTTGCCCCCTTTTCTTATAAAAAATACTAGATTTAGGTATTTTTAAACGCCTATACATACTATAATCTAATACATTGATAAATTTGAGCGCAAGCAAAAAAAAACTATAAGTAAATGCAATTAAAATCTAATTTTTTTTTTTAGGCAATTCATGATGAGCGGCTTAACGCGCGTGTGGATTCAATGCTGAAGGATGGTTTGATACAAGAGCTACTCAACTTCCACGATAGGCACAATAAGCAGAGAATTGAAGACGGAAAGTGAGTAGAAAGTTTACGTTTATTGAGTTTTTGAGTTTATTGAGTAAGATGACGGCAGATTATCAACACGGGCTTTGTATTATAAAAGCAGGTACCTAATCTGATGTATTATAGCCTAATCAAGTATAAAACATCCTAGCTTAAGAGCACTCCAATCGTCTTTTTTTTATTTATTTTCTTCTTAATTATTTCTTCAATATACTTAGATATTAGTTTCGTATTTTTCCACCAAAGGGTTTTTTTTTATATTACTGTAGATTATAGATATACTATTTTGAAATCTCAAAGAATGAGAAATGGAATTTTTCGCTGTAAATTTATTGAATTGTAACAATAACTCAGTTTAATTTCACGGACAATTGACGTCGCCCAATTGAGTGCCCTTTGTTTCCTTCAATTAAGTAATGTTCACGTTTTAAACCAACCAATTTGCAATAACCACTTTATAAGCGAACCAACTCCTAATAAAAAAATATATATACTCTGTGCTTTTCCGACTAAATATATATAAAATCTACCAATATTATACACGCGTATAGCTTAAAATTATTGAAGTCAATTAGTATTTTTAAATTATAGGCTTTATATCCATTATTCCTTTGTTTTATAAGCAACTATTAAAAAAACAATAGCTTGTCAAAAGCAAGATGGCGTCAGTTGCACGGCGCGCGGCGTGCGGGGGGACGTCTGCGCGGTGCATCTGCCGCTGCGGTTCCCTATAGTGTCAGGTTACATGCGCCGCCTCTAGTCTTTATGGTAGCGTTAATCGTTTTTGGTACTAATAATCTATTAATTAATTTAACTTACTCTATGGTCAGGCTATTTGTGTAAGGGCTTTTTGGCAATACATTAATTTATTATTAAAATAATGTAACCTTGCAGTAACAAGCTTATCAAATATTTGCAGTATATGATAAAAGTATCTGTAAATAATATAAAAATCAACTTTAAAATCTTTTATTCCGTCCTAAAGACATCAAGACAATGGGAACGATGTTTTCATTTTGACAAAAGTTTAACTCTCATTTTGTTTTAGTAGGACCCGCTTATTCCAGCCACTAGGTTTTAAAACCTTTCGATTTGTGTGTTATTAAGCGTTATATAATTTTGCTATGCACAATATTTAAGTATCAAGAGTGTTTAGTCGTGTTATAAGTCAGCACGCACCGCGCGTACGGCGACCGCAGACGCAAAGCTAGCCTACAATGATGTACACTATCTGGAAGTGATTCGTGAAAACATAATTAATTAATGATTTAGTATATGTTTTAATAATTCTGTATATTATGTATATTCCTGAAAAAAATACTTTTTAAATTTTAAATTAAAGTTTGCGACTTAATAAGATAACCCAACTAAAAAATGAAAAAGACTACACAAACACTTGGAACCTAAACTTAAACCCCATGGATTCTAAATGAATTTGGAATAGCGCGCATTTTTTGGTAAAAATACATCACAAAGTTCACTTGTTTTTTAGTTTATTGTCTGCTTATTAAAAAGTCAATGAAAGCCACTTCCATTATTCATATAAGCAATAGTAAGTCTTCCCGCGCTCCCGCGTAAGCCACTTTACTAAAGTTGCCTGCGAGTTTGTTTACACGACTTTTTATGTCACTTTCTACACGTATTAAAAAACGACTTGTTTTGCGTAATTTTGCGTAAACCACTGAGGTTAATACCCGTTGTGGTTCAGTGTTGCTATTTTTTTAGGTGTCAATGTTTTGCTTTTAACCCTTCGTGTAATGCAATAGGTTTATTTTCGTACCTTTTTTTAAGATTTTTTGCCTTCTTGTGTTTTGGCCTGTGATCCTGCTTATGGTTAAATTTGGCAACGTAATATTGTTGAACTTTTTTGACAAATCATCATCATAACCAGCTCACTATACGTCCCCACCGAGGGGCTCGGAGCCTAGCCTAAAGTAAGGGTGACTAGACCATAGTCAACCACGCTGGCGAAGTACGGGTTGGTTGACTTCACACATATCTTTGAATTTCTTCGCCGATATGTGCAGGTTGCATCACGATGTTTTCCTTCACCTTAAGAACGTCAGGTAAATTATGTACATATGAAAATTCGATTGTTTTAATTCAATTATTAATAGGTAAATAATTTAAACCGTCGTAAATCATTAAATATTAATATTGTTTACTCTAGTGTTATATTTAAACTCGTGAAATAACCCTGATGTTTTTTTCGCCTGTATACATACAAAATAGACTAAATAGAGGGGAATTGTATTTACAAAGTCATCGTCTAGTTCCAAGATAAAAGCCCGCAAAAAATAACCAGGTTGTCGACATCGGCGCGCCTTTTTTTACCTCCTCAAATATCCATTCACAAATATTTTAAAGCTTTTATACGCGGCTGAATGTTATTTTTGAATTTCCGTATTATACTTGTGAAAAATGATTTTTACAAGCAAACACCAAGATTTCTAGTTTATTCCTGAAACGTAGATTATTGTTTATTCAAATAACTACTGAAAAAGTTTAACACTTTAACACTCGAGTGAAATTAGGTTTACTTTTTTTTATATAATATAAGGTGGCAAACGAGCAAGCGGCCACCTAAATCCACCGAAATGGAAAGCGACCGCTGCACCACGCTGCCTACCTACTTATGATTGAATGCCTTTCGCACTAATCTAGTAATTTGATTTATTACAGTAACAGGATATCGAAAACGTATCTATCAGTGATTGCTTTGAAGGCGTGAGATTTTATATAATAAAGGTGTAATAATTGAATTTGTGTGAGGCGTCGCCGTCGACTCCTCGGTCGTCGCGCTCGGCGGCGCTTACCGCAGGCCCCTGCTCCCCCCGCGCCTCCCACATCCCCTGCACCCCCCGCGAGCCCCCTACGAGACCACCGCACTGACTGATTGTGTGATTTTGTTACATCGTGGGAAGTGGCTCATCATAACATAATACAAACATTTTGTTTACTTTTTATTAACTTCTTAATCCGGTTTCTAAGAGGTGTTGTAAATAATAATAGCCCCCCCCCCCAAGTAAAGTCTTGAAACCCTAGTGGTAACTTAATTTCGTTTCCCTAAGCCAGTAAAGGAGTAAAACAATTGGCTGGCGACAATTTGCTTTCCGTTTTATTACGGCGCAAAGAATAATATCCAAGTCCAAACTAAAATGAAAGCAGTACGTACTGGTAGAAGTAGTACTAATTTAACTGTTTTATAATACTCTCTTATATGTTAATATTGTCATATATTTAAATATACTTTCTTCTTACCTAATTAATAAAAAGAATTTTCTTATCACAAAATAAAAACTTTCAGGCCGCCAGATTATACCAAAGGAGTATTCCAAACGCTCGGACTGAAGGAGTTCCATGAATACCTGATGATGACAGAAGGCGACAGGAACAGTGAAGGCGGCAAAAAATTGATGCAACAAAGCATAGACAACATGAAAATAGCAACAAGACGATATGCAAGAAGACAAAACAAAATGGTTAAAGGACGCTTTTTAGAGATTCCTACGCGAGAGGTACAATGCTCATTTCATTCATTAAAAAAAAAAGTAGGGTCTCGTAATCTCAGTCCACCCCTATAGTAGGGTTTAGTTTAAGCATTGCATTTGGTATAGCGCCATCTTTGGATATGTAAAAAAACAAATGATATTTAGTGCCATCTCTCGTTGAAAAGCGGAACTATTTGAAAACGTACAACGCCATCTAGTATTGAGAAGTCTAAAGAATACAAGTATAAATTTAATAACAGATGGCGTTAATGTGTAGAAACGCAATCAAAAAAAAAATCACAGCAAGATGTTATTAAAAAAATAAAAAAGAGATATGGAACTCTACTGGAAACATCTATGATAATCTATTGATTAAGATATTTAATATTTATAGGCAGCGTATTCGTCGCTGTAATTCTTTATACTTTATTTTTTTTTTAACTATATCATGAATTCTGAAAATGCAATATTATAAAATAAATAACTCAATAAATATTGTTACAGGTACCGCCTATTTATGAACTTGACACTACAGATTTATCGCAGTGGGACAAACTAGTCAAAAACAAGTCTATAGAAATAATAGAAAGTTATATTAATAAAATTCCTTGCCCTTACGAGCCTTTGAAGAAAAATATAGATGAGAATAGGAAAATTAACTCTCAATCATCAAATTACTGCGATATTTGTGAAAGGCTAATTATAGGCGACAAGGAATATGCCATACATTTAAATTCAATTAAACATCAAAGGGTTATAAAAAAGAAAAAGAGGCTACTAGACCAAAAGACAAAGGAAGAACAAAATAATTTAAATAATTCTTAATTTATGAATACATTTCTCATGTTATAAGTGTTTAAATAAATAAATTATGTTAACACAATGCTTTTTATTAACTAATTTAACTAAATTTTTACATAACAATGTTACATTATTTCGTCATCGATATTTTCAGTAACAAGTTTTTTCTTTGGAGCTCTATAATCATATTTTTCCAAATCTGGATTCTCCGTTACAATTGTTTTGTAAGCCTCACATAATCTACGAAACTCATAATTAGTTATTTGAAAAGGTCTTGTCACTGGATCTAAATCAGCTATGTTATACATTTTTAAAGCCATTTCTTCACGAATCTCTTCAGGAAACAGTGTTTGTGCACCCCTTATTGAATATTTTTGCCGCATCGAAAATATCTGCCTAACAACTTTTTCTACAAGTTTAAATGGCAACTTTATAATTGGTTGTTTTAAAGGTGTCAGTGTTACCACTCCCACATCAACTTCCGGCTTAGGTAAAAAAGCTGCACCGGGTATATCAAATTTATATTTCACATTGCACCAATTCTGGCACATAACAGACAACCTACATCTTTGTTTATCCAGGATGGGTGCGGACATTCTTTCAGCCACTTCCTTTTGAAATGTTAATGTCATCCGCACCCTACCAAATGTCCAAGGACCTTCTTGTCTAGAAATTGCCTCTAACCAGCGTATTATTAATATTGTTGATACACTAAATGGTAAATTGCCGATCAGATTAACAGGAGGCGGAGGGTCGTTCCAACCTACCTTAACATCTTGTGGAATAAAATGTGCAATATCAGTGCGTAAAATATCACCAGTTATAATATCAACATCGACTTTGTCTTTACAAGCATCAGCTAAAAGCTCTAGTGTTGGTAAGAACCGCGGATCTTTCTCGACTAAAATGACTTTTCTAGGCGCCTGTTGTATGATAGAACGAGTAATACCGCCCGGCCCGGGTCCCACCTCACACACTACATTATTCTGTATATTTCCCGCAGCTCGTACTATTTTATCAATTAATCTTGGCTCCATAAGAAAGTTCTGTGACAGTTCTCTAAGTGCGCGCAATTTGTACAATCTAATGACATCTTTGATACTAGGCAAAGGAGGAAGTCGAATGCGGGAGGCTCTCTGTGCTGCAGACATTATTGCTGTACCTTAACTGGTTCTTCGAAATCGTCCAAGAATGTCTCTTGTTTAACAGCGTTAATAGAATATAAATAAATACCCAATACTCCAGCACCGATCAAGCAACCAGTTATGCGATTCCTTTTGTTTATTTGTTGTAATTTTTGAACGCGTTCAAGGTTTTTCTGCTCAATAATTTTCATATAATCTAGTTCTGCTTGTTTTAATACTGGTGTTTTACCATCAGTACTGTTAATTTTGGATTTTATGCTAGAATCGCCCATTACGATATCAAAATACTTTTATAACCTCAAAATTACACAAAATTCAGAAGATACAGTCAACCACAAAATTTCATAGACAATTTTTTATTGTTCGTATGAATTTAGTAAAAATTCACAGAATATAAAAAGGATAATTATATTAATAATAAATGATTAATAATAAATAGCTTACTACATTTGAATGTATAAGGGGAAACTTAAAATTAATTTCGTAACGTGTAGCAGTTAGACGAGCATTTGTTTGAATCAATGACAAAAACCATACTAAGATATCACAAACAATTTCATACAATTATTTATGTTCAACAATTACTGGGTGTTATCTTCGTTAAGCTAAGATTCATTTCGATATGTGTAATAAAATCATGCTCGTTTAACATTCCCATATATTAAAACCTAATTCTGTAAACAAATAGTAAACAGCTGTTTGTGACATTAGTCCATAGATCATCGGTAAACGCATGCGCGCAGCTCTCTCTTTCTAAACAAGACTTCCTTTTCTCACTTTACACCGCCGTGCGGCCGACCGTCGAATTGGAATTGCCGTCAATTCCTGTTTCGCGTTGTTGGTGGTTGCTTGTTCGTCGAGGTAGTGCGCACGAACTTTGTTTTTGTGTTAAAAATAATATGCCTTTTATATCCAAAGACTGGCGATCGCCAGGCGAAGAATGGGTGAAAACTGAAGAAGGATGGGAAAAGAAAAAAGTGCTAGAGTGCACAGCACCGAGGTAAGAACGCATTGCAAAACAAACTCCTTTGTTCGCAATTAGTTCGACTTTGTGCATGTAGTAACGTTTATAATCTAATGCTTTACATAACTTATAACATTGTTGTTTTGATTGTGCAGAGTTTTCTTATTTTTAATTGCAGATATGCTGCTATATCTAACTTTAATAGCATGGAAGAGAAGCAACAGAAATGGTGAGTCGCACGGTTTAAACCTTTCGCTTATCTGATCAGCTGTTTGTGTTATTGTGGCGATACATATTGATTTTCAAGATTGCGTGTGTGCGTTGAAGCAATAGCTGTATTTATTTAGTATGTATTAAACACAAGTGTATCATTAACAATTCAATAAATAAACTACTCACCTAAATACAGTATAGAAACATATCTAAGCATACGTTACGCAAATACTTTCACTGATACGCGACGTTCCTCATTGTTTCCTTCCTCGTTTTTAATGAATAATGAATCGTCAGAATATAATTTGATTACGAAATTTTTGATTATCATAATATTTTTCATCGGCGCAAAAGATAATGAACTCAAAAGCCAAGTTGTAGACTCTATTTTGACTTATTTAATTCAGAAATTCACTTGTAGACTAATTCATCTATCTAGAGTTTTATTATTTCCAATGTCTTATTTTTAACGTGTTTAATTTTATAGATTTTATCTGTAAAATGTATAATAAATTTTCATTTATACCTTTTTTGCCAGATAAACCTTGACATGTGAGTAAAATAGGGCATCATGAATAGTGGGTCCTTGGTTACTTTCCCAGCGGAAACCGAAGTCATTGCGTACGCTGAAAGCTACAATACTTTTTAAATCTTGCGGTTTTTTAAAAAATAAAATACGAAGTATCAAAAATAAATAATTAATATTTACTATTAATCCCGTGATTTTTTACTGCAAAATGACGAAATTTCATGATAATGGAGAAAATAATTCTCAAATATTATTTGATTCTCTTATAGATTTTCTTAAAAATCTATTTGGTTAACTAAGAAAAACTATATTAATATTCTAAAATAAGTAAAACTCCAGTAAAGAGGCTGGCATAGTTCTCAAATATTTTTTTTCATTATCTAGTTTTAGGCTTTACTGTGTCCTAGTTTTTTAAAGTCTTTTTAAAGTAAATTCTAGTGACACATGAATATGTAACGATGTTAATTCTTTGTTCTACTTACGGACCCAAAATTATTCTTTTGTAGGCTAGCATTAAATATTAATTGACCGCCGTAGACGTTACCTCGTAAGTTTCATTCCTTTTTTAAAAATATCATGGTTAGTTAATCTATGTCACAAATTATACAAAAGAATATTTAAAAATTATCCTTATAAAACGTTCCAAATACGATATTTTCAGCTTATTATAATACTTTCGCCCGTGACTCCGTTCGCGTAGAATTAAAAAAAAGTGAGTATCCATAAGTAATTTCGTCGAAATCCGTCCATCCGTTTAGGCTGAACTCTAACAAACATCCACCCGTATAAACTTTCGCATTTATAATGTGTCAAAATTTCAATGGAATTTGAATTTGGAACGTTGGCTTATCGTTTAGGACGCTGTTTCATTTTTATATACGGCCGGTATTTAAGTATTAGATAATATAAATAAAATTATACCGCATCTAAATAAATAAACATGTAAAACAAAACTATACAAAGTCCCAGCATTGAAATAATAACGTACATATTTGGCAAAGAGATTTTCTCGTAGTAACACGTAATAAAAGCAAAATGCTGGCTAAAAATGTACAGAGGCAATATTTACTCGGCTGAGCAAAAGCGGGGTAAACACGAATCTGTTTTGGATCTGGGTCAGGTCGAATTTTCGCTGGTCGACGTTACGAAATAGGAAGAACGTTGAGAATTTACATTTTTAATTGAAATAGTGTGTTTATGAATGTGGCAGATGTCATTTTAATGTAATAGAAAACATTTGAGTGTTGTAAAAGCAATGATCTCGATAAACAGATAAGCCTTAACGAGGTATTTGTGCCTATTTGATTTTTGTCATCTTGGCGCTAATGATAGTGAGAGTTGATACTAATAATAGAAATAGAGTTAACAGTAGGCGCATTTAAGTAGGAACGAAGTATTTCCAGGCAAAGATCTATCCTTTTATACAGATCAGTGTATAAAAATTTTTATTTTGCACAATATAATAACATTTTTTCACTACACACAGAATGCTGTCTAATAAAAATTTTAGAATAAAACGCTGAAACTAAAATTTTTCTAAACATAAACATAAACATTGCTTGAAGACATATGACGTTTTTAAAAATAGAATCAACTTTTTTGTTTTAATTCATCTTCCTTTAACCTGCATGTCAGGTTAGTCATTTCCCGAAACTAAACGCGTTTAATTAATTGCCATCCGTGTTATTTATTTTTGTCCCAAAGTTCTCTGCCTACATTTAAATAAGGAACGCCTCGTCTCACTCAACCACGTTCTCGAAATCTTTTAAAAGAAAAGTATATTTTTTGTTTTTACGTTAAGTGAGTTATCCTGTTTAACAGTTAGCATTCCAGTTCCATTTTCAAAAAGTGTTTTGTTTTTAAATTCATCTTAATGTTTTTATACGTTCCGTTTTACTATTCCTTTGTTCATCGTTGTTTTGAATTTGGGATCGTAAGCTTTGTGTAGTTTTAGTTGTAGTATTTGCCATAATGTAAAGCAAGCTATACTTTGTTAAATCTACCACACGGTTAACTATGTACCATGAAAAAATAAAATAAAATTTATTTTTAAACCCGAATATAAATGCATCTGCTCAAATAATTAAAAATACATATTTACTTTTGAATATATATTTATTTCCGTGTATTAAGAATTTACTTTACTTTTTATTTAATTGACGTGAAACGGAACTAATACGTCAGCGCAACCTTTTTATCAAGGAAACCCCGCCTAAACACTGGCACGCGATAGTTTCGATAGAAAAATAATTGAATTGTCTTTATTTTTTTTAATTGATTGTTTATTGGCTTTTCTGTTATAGGGCGTCTATAATTTAAAATATAAAGTACTATTTGAAATTATAACTCTGTATTATTGTACTTGTAAATGAAATACAGTTTACGAATACTACAATCATACTAACATAATTATTTTTATTGTAGGTAAAAAACTAAATAATAAATTAATCTAATCATAAAATATTAAGACTATCTAATTAACAATTAAGTATAGGTCATTAGAACATAGGTTATCAAATGATATTGATAAAGTATCAAAACAAACAATTTATCATAAACACCTATATAAAAGGAGATTATGCGTAATCGCCTTTGTTTTGACTCCGATCACAGGTCATTGCTCCTTACCGCGTAGGATTTACAATTCCGTTAAATACAGATCCACATGTGTTTGCTAAATTAATATGTGTTTGAAGATCTTCTAAACACCTATTTTTTATAAATCATATAAGACGTTTTTCTTTGATTATTATTTACTACCTTTCCTGTGACACCGCGCTGAGTTAAATAAAAGTAGTCTATGTTTTCTTCCAGATTATCCTCCACATCTGTGCTAAATTTTATCTGGATCCGTTCAGCAGTTTAGGCTACACAATCTAACAAACATCCTACTATCTAAACTTTCGCATTTATAATATTATTCAATACTTCTATACTAATATTATAAAGATTAATGATTTATTTTATATGTATTGAAATAAGTCAAAAACTACTGGGCCAATTGAAAAAAATCTTCCACCGTTAAAAAGGTAGTTTATCTGTTAGTAACATATTTTTATTATTTTTAATTCCACGAGGACGAAGTCACAAGCAACAGTTAGTAAGATATAAAAATAATAGTCTAGTTATTTAAACATCTTTTTGTTGTATGTATTTCTTGTGCAATTTTTCCACCAACCGTTGATTAGTGATAATAAGCGAAACTCTTCGTAAAACGATAGTACGTTCGCCATTCGATACGTCACTTTCTAATAGTCGGTTCCAAGTCGGTAATCTAATAATTATTTAGAAATCTAGGCACTACATGTTACATTGCTTATTTCTACATACTTTAAACATGTCTTCAAATGATACTGCGTTTACTATATAAAAATAAAATAAAAAGAACAAACACTCTTTATTGACCGAAAAAAAGAACACAACTTACAAAACATACTACCGAAATAGAAAATAAAAAAATTCTTGGCCAAAAGGAGTAGGCTCAGCTGATGCAGCCTCCAGCTTGTCACTAAAGACCGCGCTGGTTTTCAGCCTCCCCTTAACTACTAAATGGATGTAATGTCGGTCACTTACACTATCCTGGCTTACACGTCTACGGACGAGACCGGGATGGTATTTAAGATGGCCGACATCTGTTTAAATAGTTAAATAACTGAGTTTTGTTTGTTTTAGACTTATGGGCCGTTATCCTGCCCCCTGTAAAAAATAAATAAAAAAAGCATGTACATATTCTTGCATTGTGGCACTTTAATCATCTTTATTTCTCATTTTGTAATTTAAGCAAAGTTTGTTCCATATTTATCCGCAATATGGCAACGATTTTTGTATTTGTGGTCAGGCTATACATAATCTAAGATATTTTTTTTATCTAGAAAGAAACTATGTTTATTTATATTATAATGAAATAAGAAATAAAATGTTTGTAATATTACTTTTAACTTCCATTTAAAAGGTTTTCCACTAAAAATTGAACTTACTATGAGGGTCGCTGAGTACTCGGGAGAACGTTTGAGATTGAAATTGCTTGTAAAACCTCATTATAAGTTTTCCCAGCGGCCTTTTATCTTTCGGAAATACAATTTGCTTCCTAACGTTTTAGAAACGGTTATTTGCATATTTGAATAAAAAAAACTACAATCTTTGTCAATGATTACAAAAAAACTTACTTAGCAATCAGTTGTTATACATATGTAACTATTTTATTACATTATTACAAATGATTTTAAAAGAAAAAAATATCCAATACTTTATTTCGCTAAACTCGGTAATTAATTAATATATCTTTTTTTTTAAGCTTAATTTATTTAAACAAACTTAATATTGATAAAAAAAAACTATCAAATACGAGAAAATTTCCTTTAAAGCAAAAGTATAAAGCATATTAGATAATCATAGTCGACATTGAGCACGCAAAAACTTCCGATTGCGAATGATTGCTGAATACCACAGTTTCCGCAGAATTCGGCCGTGACCTATATTTATGTAGG